TGGAGCTATTCAAATCTTTACTGATGTCTCAAAGCTGGACAACAAAGTCGGAGGAGGAATCTACTCCGAACAGCTGAATATAAGACACTCTTTCAGGCTCCCAGATCACTGCAGTGTCTTCCAAGCGGAAGTCATAGCGATCAGGGAAGCCTTGAGCTGCCTTAAGGAACGTGCCCCTACGGCAACTCATATAAATATCTATAGTGATAGCCAAGCTGCGATCAAATCGCTGAATGCGATAACAACAAGCTCGGCTACCGTGGCAAACTGTCGCAAATCTCTCCATGAGATGGCTTATCAGTTTGTCATCAGCCTAATATGGGTCCCGGGCCACCAGGACATTGAAGGCAACTGTATAGCAGACGAGCTGGCCAGAGCTGGTACAACAATCCCCCTTCTCCATGATAAGGAGGATATTCGTATGCCAATGGACACCTGCAAGCTCAAAATAAAAGAACATTTTAAGCGACTAATAAATGACAGATGGCAAACAGTGCCACTATGTCGGATAACTCGGCAAACATGGCCTAACATTACTAGGAAGCGCACCGATGAGCTTTGCAAACTCAGTAGGAGCAGGTGCAGCTCAGTCACACGCTCCCTTACGGGACATTGGCTAATAGGCAGCCATGCAAACAGGCAGGGTGCCCCCTATAACGACTTCTGTCGGAGCTGTAAAGATGAGGACGAGGAGGAGACTGTGGATCATCTGTTCTGCTCCTGTCCGGCTCTAAGTAGAAGGAGACTTCAACACTTGGGCGCACCTTTCCTAATTGACATTTCGGACATGTCTACAATCAGTCCCAGACGGATAGCAGGCTTCATAAGGGCATCCGGATGGGACAATGGATAACATAGTGTCTCGATCTATGATCTATGCGGTATCACAATGGGCCGAAACCGGCCTAGGTGTGTCGGGTCTCTGACGATCCCGACAGCCGCCTCAACCTAACCTAACCTAACCTAAAAAAACAAAAACCAACATGGAGTCACAAGTAGACAGCGGCTCTGACTTCCTTCTTAACAGCCTGCGCTCTATTCGTTCCTCTTGTATTTTCTTCCTTCTGAGAAGATCCCTTGCTATTAATCAGGCGACTGGCATTTTTCAATCAAATTTTTTTAATTTAGAATGCAAGTAATTGACGTTTGCCAGACCAGTCACACACAATCGCAAAAAAAAAACTTTGTCAGGGTTGTCTACAACACTTTAATTGAGCGGGCTAAAAATTTAAATTTGGTTGTTCAGAAAATGCTCAAAGATTATGAGCGAAGAGTGGCAAAATGCAAAAGTTGTTTTGGGTAACTTTATACAAAACATTCCTTCTCAGATCCCTAATGAAAAACAATAAAATAAACAAAGACCAGTATTTCACAAAATTATTTTTGAAACACTACAACTCTGAGCTAGAATTGTCATTGTTGCGCGTGAACTCCGAAAAAAGTGTCCGAAATCTCTAGATATCCTGTTGCGCCTACGGGGTTTTCGGTTGATTTGACAAATCTCTCGAGTCAAAATCTCTAGAGATTTCTGTGGCACCCCTGTATGATTATTTTAAAATTTGTTTAATTCTTTATTGAATGAATGGTGGATTAAGTTGTAGGAGTCCAAAGACGATTCCGAAGATAGAAAGTCGAGTAATGATATACATACATATGTATATTTATTTGGAGCCTACAAGCTAAGGCCGCTCAAGAGCCGTGTGGATTGTGCTCTCAGAGCGCTCTCCGAGAATGGTTAAAATGGCTGTTAATGGAGGGCGGTAACAAAGAACGGTAACAGTCTGCTAGTCTGCGGTGTTTACAGGACTGTTGCTCACTTACATCTCTGAACATTCCTCCTCCCTTGGAGGACAGAAAATAATGAAATGGGATAGGCTTCGTGCTGATGGTAAGATATGGGCTCCGATCAGGGCATCGGCGAAAAATGTAGGATCCGTCAATTGAAGGCTCGGCAAGTCTCTTAATAAACTTTGCGATATCGAATAAGATTGAATATTCTCTGCCGATTTCGAAATAACGTAGGCTGTGGCGTTTAATTGTAACACCGGCTTATTCAAGCAGCGGATGGAAAAACCTGGTTGGTCACCCTGTATTGATACACATATTTATGTTTTTTTGTCTCCTTTTTATACCCGTGCTCGAAGTGTTAAGGGGTTTCTTAGATTTCGCTCCACACCCTTCCGCCTCCACGTTCCTTTCGTTACTTTTCTTTTCATTCCATCTGACTGTGAGCAGAATATTTTGTTAGTCACAAATAAACCTTGAAAATGAACGAACGCAACGGCTACCTTTCTTCAAAACGAATATAACTTATACGGCGTTATCCAACAGATCCATATTCTCATACCGGTCACGCAGGGTGTTCCATGCTGATTCGATTCATTGATGGGTGGGCACTTACCAACTTTGACCTTTGGATCACCACGTGTTTTCGTTTTGAGATGGTAAAACTTCTCCACTGGAGACCACCTAGATTATGTATATAGCGGTAAAAAATCGCTGTGAAAACTTCCATATCGCCTGGTGGATATCTACAGCCGCACTGGGAGTTTGGCTTTGTGGAAGGACGGGCTACTGAGATTTAGAGCTGGTCAATTATCCCAGAACCGCACTGTTCAAATACCGCAAATCACAGATCGGAATTTACTTAAAGGTCCGCTTTAGCCTTCACAGAGAGTTAGGTAGAATGCGGGGACTTGGAATTTTTATTCGCTCTTCGAAATGCAAAAGTCTGCCTGTGGCCGCTACGAGTTAAACCATCGCGGCACTGCCGGCCGGTTTTGATAAAACTACTCGACAAAACTGAACTTTTTTCCGCTTTTAATAAATAAAATTGTTCATAGAATGACAACAGTACTATGTTCATAAAAAATATACCGCACCTTTTATTATATCACAAAACAATGATTTTTTACTTGGTATGTAATTCCAGTTTTGGTACATGTAAATTTCAATAATTTCAAAACAAGCATTGCTTGGTTGTCCAGCAACGTTGCAAGCGGTAAAATGTGATTTTCGAAGGTTACGTCATCCAATTTTAAACCTTACCTTCGTTTTCCGAAAACTCGTTGCAAAAGTCGGATATCGCGTTGTTTAATTTGGGAAAACTTTTGTAACACTTCAATTTGGAATTAATCAAGCTATTCAATAACAAAATTTTATAATTAAAAAAAAAAATTAAGATTTATAATCTTTTTTCAAAGTTGGATAATTTTTCTGTTTTTGGAAAAGTGAAGAAAACCGTGCTCAAAATGGCAAAGGTTATAGCCTATTCACACAGGCCACCATCCATTTCTGGAATGGCCCGTAAGGTTTTTCCGTTCCAAAAATGTCCTAGTTATTGTTTTTATAAAAACAACAACAAAACATCTGATACGTCAGAATTGTTTCAGGCACAAAAAATCGGTTTGTGGACTATCCTCTGGAAATTATTTTATGAATGCTCTGCAAAACTCATGCAGTATATTGCACACGCTGTTGGCTGACAGCCTTCCGACTGTTCTGTACTCAGAATAAGAGCCCAAAGTATACAATGCTATGGCTATACAAAAATTTTCTTAAAAACGCCTCGTTGTTTTCGGGTACATCTTTCTCCTAAAATGTCCCAAACCGCTTCTCAAACAACATAGAATATATAATTGCATTTAAAACATTGATTGAATTTAGTAGAAGCAGTCACAAATGCCCACGCTTCAGTTTTTTTAAAACATAGATCCATTCCGATAAATTCTCGTCAATGTTGACCACATTATTATCATCATCCACGTCAAGCAAAATAATTAGTGATATGAAAGGTTTGCGTTCTGGTTTATGAATGATTCTTTATTGAAAACTAACTTATATTTATATGAAATAGTGAAGAGGCGTTACATCCATGCAGGTGACTCACCGCTAGGGTCTGCAATATGACGCGTCGGATTTCGGTCGGTGGCGGTAGCTGTTAGCTGGATGCAGACGCATCACTTTTGGGCCATGATAGTGACCGCCGCTGCGGCCGCATCATATTGCAATCCATCTTTAGGGTGGTTCTTAAACACACTGCATGAATATACTACATCTGCCTTTTTTATAAGAATAACGTAATGTACATTGGGTTATTCTAAGGTGTATATAATTTATCAATTGTGTGTTCTTTATAATGCATTTATGCGCTTATGTCTACTTATAATAGTACGTATATTTTGTTTCAAGTATAACGTATAAAGTTTGTATAAAGTGTGTTTGTTATTTTGATTTATTCCATTTCATTTTTTCATGGCCATGAAATGGTGAAAACGAACCAAGTTTTTATATTGTTTTACTTTTATATAGTTTTAATCTATTTTTTTTTACTGTTTTACTTTTATTTCTATCTTTTAATATGTAGTTATTCCTCTCATCTATTCCTATGATCTTATATGGTCCCTTTTATTGGTTATATAGTTTATGTCCCGTATCATTTTTAACTAATACTAAATCGCCTATATTTATTTGTATGCTATTTAGATACCTGTCATAATATATTTTGTATCTAGTTTTTGCATTTTCTAATAATAATTTGGATCTACTATTAGCTATCTGTAATCTGTATTTTACTTCTTTATCGTATGATTCATGGTTGTATACTGGACTGAACTTAGTTTCTTCTAAAAACTCATAAAATTGTGGTTTTTTTTACCAAACACCAGTTAAAATGGGCAATACGCATGTACTGTGGATGGTGTAGCATTGTAGCAATATGTAAAGTACTTTAGCCATTCGTCACAATCATTCTTTTCACTCGAGATGTACGAGCGAACATTCTCGTTGAATGTTCGGTGAGTGCGTTCTACTGCGCCGAGTGTCTGATGGTGATGGGCTGTCGATGTTTTATGGTCAATTTTTAATAACTTGCATGATTCAAAAAAATGCTGTTTTTATATTCTGTACCCATATCCGTTATGAACGTCCTCATAGGGTAAGTTATGCTATTTTGCTGCTGCTGCTTCAACATTCCGGCCCCGTTGAAGGCCTCCGGCGCTTCAACCATCCATTGGCAATTTGGCCAGTTTTTGGACTGCTCGTTTAATAACGCCTGCGGAAGATAGCACCTCTGCCACGCGCACTCTCCCATCTTCTCCTGCCGTCGTTGCCACCACTCGCCCTGTGGTCCACTTCTGAGGCGGTGTGTTGTCCTCGTGGACGAGCACTAGGCATCCTGCCTCGAGGTTCGGTCCTTCGGTAGACCATTGCTGCCGCTGCTGCAGGCTGGCCAGGTAGTCCTTGGACCAGCCCTGCCAAAACTGCTGTTTGAGCGCGGACAGCATGCGCCACCGCTTCAAATACTCGAAGCCGCCCTTGCTGCATTTGGCGTCTTGCTCGGATTCGGACGGCAGCGAAAGAAGCGGCTGCCCGATGAGCAGGTGCCCTGGCGTCAAGGCTTCTCCATCGCTGGGGTCGTTGCCTGGCGAAGCGATTGGCCGGGAGTTGAGGATGGCCTCTACCTCGACCAGGTGGGTGCTGAGCTCGTCCGTGGTGAGCTTGGCGTTGCCAACTCCACGTATCAGCCGCTGTTTGGCTGCCTTGACTGCCGCCTCCCAAAGCCCTCCGAAGTGCGGTGCTCTCGGTAGTATGAAACACCACTCGACGCCGTGCTGTGCTGCGTACGTCCTGAGCCGATCCTGATCCCTCTGAAATGCTGCGTGAAGCTCTTCCATCACTCGGCTCGCGCCCACGAAGTTGGTGGCGTTGTCGCTGTAGATCCTCTCCGGAAGGCCTCTCCTCCCGACGAATCTTTTGAAAACACACAAAAAACTATCAGTTGATAGGTCGACTACTAATTCGAGGTGAACAGCCTTTGAAGCGAAACACACGAACACGGCTACATAGGTCTTAATGGGGGGCCTGCCTCGAATTTTGAGGGACACCTGAAACGGACCGCAGAAATCTACCCCACAAATCAGAAAGGGGCGAGCTCTTCGCACTCGGTCAGCTGGCAGGTTTCCCATGATCTGTCCCATAAGGATGGGCTTGTATCGGAAACAGTGCACACAATTCCTCACGATTCTTGTGCATGCTTCTCGGGCGTTCAATAGCCAAATCTGCTGCCTTAGAAGGGAAACCATTACTTTTGCACCTGCATGATAATGAGCACGATGCAAATGGCGTAGAAACAGTGTCACGAAGTGCGACTTTTGCGACAGCAGTAGAGGAAACTTCGCATCGTATGGAATTTCTGCGTGCAGCAATCTTCCCCCAACACGAATCAGTCGGAAGGTGACTCAGCCGAGTTCGCTCGTGTGTATGAACGGGCTGAGTCGTTGAAGATGTGAAGACAAAATTTCCGACCTATCCAGTTTGAGGAATTCTGATCCAAGCTCACATCTTTGGACTACCAGCCTAAGAAATGAGACCTTCAGCTCCTTAGCTGATACAACCACATCTCGACTGCGATTGCCACCTTGAATGAACCGATTCACATACGCCATGATCCGAAGCAACTTCTGAAACAAAGAGCATCTTCCTATCAGCTCGATGACCTCATTAGTCTGACCCTTTGCCACAGAATGTGCTGCCACATTTTTCTTGTCTTCTGACTTTTCCATTTCTGGCGACAACTCAACCTGATGAAGAAGCGGCCAATTCTCAGGACCACTAAGAAGAAAATGCGGCCCATTAGTCCACAATGAGCACATTACACCATCTACATCTGTTCCACGGGACACTAAGTCTGCTGGGTTTTGATCGGTGGGAACGTGACGCCAAATCACACCACTGGACAACTCCTGGATTTCAGCAACCCTATTGGCCACAAACGTTGCTAGGGTGGCTGGTTCCCTTTCCAGCCAATACAAGGTGACCTGGGAGTCCGACCAAAAGTTCACGCTTTAAATTACAAACTTGTCTAGCAGCAGTCGAACTTGAGACCATAGCGTGGATAGTAGAAGCGCTGCACACAATTCTAGTCGTGGAATTGATTTCGTTTTAAGAGGCGATACTCGGGACTTTGCTGTAAGAAGTCTGGATAAAACATTTTTATCGTCCTTGGTACGAACGTATATACAACATCTGTACGCATCACCTGATGCGTCAGCAAATCCGTGTATTTGGATAGTGGAATTATTGGCAAGACCGATAAAGCGAGGTATAGAGATTTTGTCCAAGTCTAATAAATTCTGCTTGAACCTGTTCCAACTCGTATGCAGACTCATGGGAACTGACTCGTCCCAATCCAACTTTTGCCTCCTCAGATGCTGCAGCAAGATCTTTGCCCTGGTAATTAAGGGACATAGTAACCCAAATGGGTCGAACAATCGCGAAGCAACTGACAATATGTTGCGCTTCGTAGGGGGTAATGAATCAAAGGAGTCGTCCAGCTGATAGTGAAACAAATCAGTTTGCGGATTCCAACGAATTCCGAGTGTTTTAATGGAAGCGGAAGGGTCAAACTGAAGAGACTTTTCCTGGCCACTATCGGACAGCAGATGGGGATGATTTGACGCCCATTTGGCCAACATGAAACCCCCCGCTTCCAGGACCTCACTCACTTCCTGCCGAATTATTCCCAGCTCTTCCAGACTATTTGGTCCTGTCAGCATATCATCAACGTAAAAGTCATTTGCTATGACTTGCGAGGCCACAGGATGGGACTTAGCATAGACTTTTGCTAGCTCAACGAGACAGCGGATGGCCAGAAATGGAGCTGAAGCTGTCCCATACGTGACCGTATTCAGGCGATAAGTTTGCACGTCAATATTTTCTTTCTCCCTCCAAAGAATCAATTGGAAATTTCGATCTTCTTCAGCAACCTGCACTTGCCTATACATCTTGGAGATATCCGCTGTAAGGGCAAAACGGTTTAATCGAAACCGTGCAAGAGTTGCAAAAAGCTCCCTCTGAATAGTGGCTCTCACCATCAAAGTCTCGTTTAAAGAGATTGAAGTTGAAGTTTTACTCGATGCATCAAACACTACGCGGAGCTTGGTGGTGCTACTATCAGGTCTCAGGACACATTGATGCGGAATATAGTAATGGTGTCCTGGAGGAGTGCCTGGAAGCAATGACATGTGACCAAGGTTGAGATACTCTTTTATAAACTCCATATACATGTCATGCAGGTACTGATCACTCGCGATTCTGCGTTCCAGGGATAGAAAGCGGCGTTTTGCCGTCTCAAAAGGGGAACCCAAAACCTTGGGATTCATTTTAAACGGCAACTTTACTTCGAACCGACCCGACTCAAGCCTGCGTGATGTCTGCTTGAAGTTGCGTTCACAAGACAACTGTTCAGCTGTATGTACAGCCTTCGACTTCTCTGGGACATGTTCCAATTCCCAAAAGCGCTCCACCAGAGAGTCGAGAGAACACGTATCGCTACCAACAGCGTTATTGCATACAACATCCTGTTTTGATGCAGTATATTTTCCCGAAACAATCCAGCCCAACAACGTTTTCTGGATTGATGGATGTTCGGAACTTGGCTTTATTTGGCCCACACATATCAATTCGAAGAAGGTTTCTGCCCCTAGCAGTAAGTCGACCTTAGCAGGCTTGAAAAAATGTGGGTCTGCCAGCTCAAGGTTTGCTGGAATATTCCAATGGGCGAAATTTACGACATGGTCGGGTTGGTATGTGGAGATTGAACGTAATACCCAAAAATCGGTTGAAAAATGATGAGCGTTGACACGAGATTGGACGGACGTGTGAACCTTGTTCTTTACGACGGACGAACTTTTTCCAACAGTTGTGATACTAATGCATGACTCGTCACGGTGCAGTCTTAGGCGCTGTGCGAGATCCTCGGAAATAAAATTTATCTGGGAGCCGGAATCCAGCAGCGCCCTAGCATATTGGAACTGTCCGAACCGATCTTTCACCTTTACTACTGCCGTCGCGAGAATCACTTGGTCAGTACTCGCCACATGACTTGAGTATGCTGTTGGGTTTTCAGAAACTGAGGGCTGTTCTACAGGAGCCGAACCAGACGTACTTTGCTGTGACTCTACCCCGTATCGGTGAAGCAGCGTATTATGGGACTTGGAGCACACATTTTGCTGTCTTGCACTTCGTAACTGTATGACCTGGCTTCAAACAATTTATACACAAGCGAAGTTGCTTGGTGATATCAAAACGTTGAAGAACAGGAAGAGCACTGAACGCTTGACAACTGCTTATGATATGATTGCTCGCTGAAAAATAGCTACACTTCGACTCGGAGCGCCGATCTGACTTTGCACAGGAAAAGGAAGACTTCGTGTGTCCTTTGCCTATCTCTGATTTGCCTTTTCCCTTACTCCTTGTTAACTCTTCAGCTGACAGATGCTGATAGCGCCGATTCAACTGGGATGCGCAATCGGACCACGACGGCAATTTGTCGTAATCCAATTGCTCTTCGAAGCGTGATTTTGTAGTATGATCTACTTTGGACATTGCTATGTGAATCAGCATTGCACTATTTATGTCCTTCTCACTTCCTAACGACTGCAGAGAGGAGTAGAGGGCAGATACCGTGTCAATGAGGGATCTCAGGCATGAAGCAGAGGGTCTTGTTATTTGGGGAATGTCGAACAACTGCGAGATGGTGTCGAAAAAGATTAAACACTTGTTATCGTAAACATTCTTTAAGCTCTCCAGAGCCTTTTCATAATTGCTCTCAGAGATTTGGAACGCCTTCACTGTGCCCAATGCAGCATCAGTGAGACAAGCCAGCAAGTGTTTAAACTTTTCTACGTTCGTTAATGATGGGTCGCTATGCACCAAACTCTCAAACAGGCTTATGAAGTTTTTAAATTCGGAATGTTTTCCACTAAACTTAGGCAAATTAATTTTTGGCAGGTGTGACGAATGACGCTGATCGCCGCGATCGTTCCTATGTGCTCGCTGACTCTCAGGTACGTTTAATGCGGACATATACATAGCCCTCGTAGTAATACACACATTGACCACTCGACCATTGACCTTAAATCGTTGCTGGGATTCAACAAATCCACATCTGCCTGAATGTCCATTAACTTGTCGCAATAATTTTCGATCAGTTCTAACCTGCACTTAATTTATTTACACTGATTTCAGTAAAGCATTCGATTCTGTAAACCATTCCCTTCTAGCACAAAAACTTGACCTTTAAGGGTTTCCGCCTAATCTTTCGAGATGGATTTCTAGCTACCTTCGTTCTAGGTCTCAAAGAGTCCCCTTCAAAAACTCAATCTCTTCCCCTGTTAAGGTTACTTCTGGAGTACCACAGGGCAGCCATCTAGGCCCCCTACTATTCACACTCTTTATTAATGATATGCCTTCAGTATTAACAAACTCTCGAGTACTCATGTATGCGGATGATGTTAAACTTTGTGTCCAACATAAGGACATTTCATTTCACTTTCGCTTGCAATCCGATCTCAATAGCTTTCAGTCATGGTGTTGTGAAAATATGTTAGACCTAAATGCCTCGAAATGCAAAGTAATGACATTTCATCGCTCCAGCCCCTTTTTGGCTCCTTATAGCCTCTGCGGTGGTTCTCTTGAGAGAATTACCTAGACCCAAAGATAAACTTTTCTGAACACATTTCTACCATGGTAAATAAGGCCATGGGCGTGCTTGGGTTTTTAAAGAGGTGGTCAAAGGAATTTGACGACCCCTATATTATGAAGACTCTCCACATTTCGTTTGTTCGTCTGATTTTAGAGTACGGCTCTTGCGTATGGTGCCCCCAGTACAAAG